AACTCGAATTGGACAACATGCGACCTTGCCAAGCCTCTATTTACAATGTCACAAATCACAAGGGAAGAATCTATTCAAGTTTTCCAGCTGGAATGGGAACCATAGTAAAGAATGTGCTTCCATTTTCACAGCCGTGATATTTTACACATCAAAAGACGGAGGTTGGAGAAGGCAGAAGAGGAAGGTCTCAGTCCTGCAACTGAGTTCACAAAAACACACCCTGACATCGAAGACCTCACCAAAATTCATGGAGTTTTTGCATGCACCAATTAAAGCCTGTGACAATTTTCTAGGATCTGCTCTTGTTTGTTTTTTTTCTCCCTATATGTATAATTAAAAAAATGCAGAAACCCATTTTCTGCTTCTTAAGCATTTGACTGTAACTAGTTCCGGAGTTATTTCACCCTCGACCCTCCAAACAAGCATGTTAAATGAACAGTGCAAACAAACAAGACCAAACCTAACTGCAGAAGCTCAGCCAAACATTAACAAAGACAAGCCAGACAAAAGCACACACATGAACAAGGTTCACATCTATACAAGGTTACGAGCAACAGGAAACTGCTGTCAGTTGATGCTGTGGTTAGAACCACACCAGCCAGTGTAGTCAGGTTTTTTCCTCCCAGTTACACTGTGCATCCAAACAGTTCCTCGTGTGTAGTACTTCGACTGTGACAATGACAAGGGAAATGAAACACGCCCCCTTATTTCAACAAGAGATTTAAAAATGCCAGTCCATGCCAAGGTCAAACACTTGTAAAACAAGCTTATTGTACCTTCCTACTTACCTCTGCCCATGATAATGATCATACCCAACTCAATTGGCACATAACTGACTCCCCTCACTCCGAGCGATTCCCCACTCACCTCTCTCCCCCACTAGTGCCCTCTTTCACCTCACCCGTCAGTGTAACCAGGTAGCTGCCATACTAACCCACAGCCTCAAAATCAGGGGTGGGCAAAATGCGGCCCGCAGGCCAAATGTGGCCCGCCAGGCCATTCCATCCGGCCCATGGGACCCCTAAAAAAATTTAGAAAATTAATATTTATCTGCTCCTGGCTGCCTGTCATGTGGCCCTCGAAGGCTTGCCAAAACTCAGTAAGCGGCCCTCTGTACAAAATAATTGCCCACCCCTGCTCTAAATGCCTTGAAATTTGCAGCCATCTCCTGCTGCTACTTCTCCAGATGGGGTTCCACTCCCTGCCTGTATAAACCAGGCTGTCACCCAACTCTCTAAAGTGTTATCACCCGAGTCTAATACTCATTATATCACAAAATATTTCCTATGAAAGATGCTACATAAAAATAGATTGCATTGTATTGATCCACTGAGCTGCGTTTAGACTACTTGTAAAGTGCCGCCAATTCTCACGCCGCAGAATAGGGCTTTTGTTTAGTGCACACCACTCAGAGTTGGATTCAGTCCTGGTTTACCCCACTGCAAAGTCCCAGCTCTATATGGAGACAACTCGCTGTGGGGTCAGCTGGGACCACCTACCCGCGCTAGGGGCTGAGGCAGTGCACCTGAGAAGGTGGATGCTGCAGATGGGAAGAAGGATTGCAGCTGGAGGAGCCAGCATTATTTACACTTCTTTTCCAAAGTGGGGCCTGTGCGTAGTCTAGTGAGGGATTCACTTTCTCAGAGTACAAGGGCTCTGCGCCCAGTTAGTCCTTCCCACCCTTGTGCCTGCCCCAACCCATTTGCTGCGCAGCCCCATCCTCACCTAAATTACCCAGCTCCAAGTCCCACCCCTCCACACATCCTCTTCCAAGGAGAAGACATTAAGTTTTGTTGATTCTAGTGTGGAAAGGGTTCACTTCCCCTCACTGCCACAGCCCAGAAAAGATTGAGAAAAAGGAAAAAGGAGGAAATGCATTCACTCAGGACAACTAGAAGCAACAGGGTGGGAAACAAAGGGACAGGTCTGGCTGCTGACACCACAGCCCCTGCTCACTCTCTCCCAGGAGCCTCTGCCCTTTAGCATGGGTGCTGCCCATCGCTGGCTTCATGCAGCTTCTGAGGTGCAATCCCAGAACTGGGCCCGGAGGCACCACACCGCCTCCACATGCTAACAGGTGTTAGTGCCTCAGGCCCTGTTCCTGCAACCTCTGATGCATCTACATACCCAGGTGCTGGTTTCTCTCTGTTGGATGCTGAGCACTGCACCTCCCAGGAGCAACCCTTCTTATTCACCCTGTCTGGCAGTCTGGGCATGAACAGATCTGGGACTACAACAGCAGAAGCGCTGCACAGGTGAAGCCCAGTGGGAAAACTCCCCAGTGCCTGCAGGCATTTTTCTTAGCTGTGGCCAGCACCAGTCAACCCTCTGTTTGTATGAACGCTATATTCACACTCGTTTTAAAGCCTGTTTTTCTCCCTTACGCACTTCACCTGCTGATCCATTAGATGCTACATACTCCCCAGTGGTGTGTGCTGCACCATTTAGCTTGGCTGTGAGTAAAGGCAGCTTTTCTCACTCTATGAGTAAGTGACTCGAACCATTTTGCACCTGTCTTAGAGAAAAACACTCAGCCCTCTTGATATATTAATCCCCTCAGGCAAGGGAAAGGAATGAAACTAAGACCACAGGGCAAAATTAACTCTAAAGACAAGGAGAAACTGTACTCCATGTTCCTTTTGCTCACCACAGGTTTAGAAAATAATGTTCCTTTGCCTTTCATGGGTCTGGAAGGGAGCAAAGGTGCAGGAATTAGTAAATAAGGAACCCCAAACCTAGAGGAGGTGGGAGCGAGGCTAACACAGCCTGCTCCTGTCCTTTCTCCGGCACAGTGGAGGTCCCACTATGCCACCCACGCAACAGAGACTCAGGGATTCGCTCCTCAGGGGCCTGGTGGCTAGGTATAGGAACTCAGGAGGCAGTCTGAGCTCTGTATCCCTCCTCGCATGGATTTTCTAATAATACATTAGTAGAGGATACCAAATGGCTGCTGGTCTCCAGTGATTCCTGCCCAAGATGGAGAGAGACAATAAAAAGGACCAGATTTTGCTGTTGCTTACAACAGTGCACATTCAGGGTGTGGCTACAACATCAGTAATGCCAACTCTCATGACACAATCATGGGACTCCTGATTTCCAAGTCAAATTAACTCTGACTCATGATCTCCTGATAAAGAGATCAAATCTCAGGATTTTTTCTTTTGGCACGTGTGGAGAGCATCAAGCTGGTAAGGCTGTGGAGGGGAAGAGGCAGGGGGAGAGGAGAGGGGCAGGGGGTGCAGATTGAGGTCCCCACAGTGAGGGAGGAAGTGGGGCAGGGACTGGGGTGGATGGGGCCTCAGGACCAGGGCGAGTCATGCAACAGAGCAGTGGACGGCTGTCTGTCCATGTGCATGCATCTGTCTGTGCATCTGTCCTTCACTCCCAAGCCACAGCCCCCCCAGTCCTGCTGCTGCCCCTCACTCCTGACTCGCAGTACCCTGCATCCTGCCAGGTTATGCAGGGATCCCCTGCTCCCTAAGCTCCAAACCCCCCACACACACCCACAGCTCCCCCACCTTCACAAATAACCCCCTACCCACACATGCACACTTCCAAATAGCATCTCATGGCCTGCATTCAAATCTCTTGATTTTTATGAGTTTGTCTCATGTTTTTTGCCACGGTGGGGTTGGGAATACTGCAACGTGGTGGCAGTGTGTCCCAGCAGGAGCGCCCCTGAGCACTTCCAACACCCCAGGTCCTGACTGCACACTCCAAACCCAGAAATCCTCTGGGGAGGCTGCTCCAGAGCTGTCCCCAGCAGCTCTTCCCAAGCACACCAGCAAATGAGATTTACACTCATCTAGGTATAAAAGCAACTTGGAGCCCTTAGCCTACATCATCACAACTAGAGATTTATTCACCTTTTCCCTGTTTCTTGACGCTCTTGAACACTGAATTTTAGTCCCTAACAGCAGAGCATACCACAGAGGGCACAGTCGCTAGAGCTAAACACTGCAATAAAAGTTAGCCCTCGCAATCAAGGGAAGGCCACAGAGATGCAAGTTCTGAGGGCGGTGAGAACAATAAAACTGAAATCAAAACACCGCACCCAGGAAGAGTACGGCTGAGTCCACGTCTACTGCAGATCTCCTGCTCCTCTGCTGATTCCGCGGGCAGATTCAGCCCTGCACCGCGCATTTCAAAAACAAACAGAAAGACGGCTGACACCCAGCAAATACTCACTGGAAGTGTAGGAGGGATGCTCCACGAGGTTAAAGCAGAATGTAATTGCAAAGTATTATGCAATTATAAAAAGCACAAATTCTCTTCAGACCTCTACTTATTCAAACGGGGGGGGGAAGGAGAAATCTAGGCATCTGACTGCCTACCATTTATGTTGCTTGCCTGGGGAATTATGCATTACAGTCAGCTTGGAAAATTAAAGTGAAATCAGTCTCTACTTCATTTGGATTTTATTTATTTTTTGTATCAGCACAGTGTTGCATTCAGGCTGCAAACTGCCATCCTTAAATCCAATTAAAACATATATAAATTCATTGGTTTTTTGAAAGGAAAAAGAAAAATCATGGAGCACACAGATTTTCTCTTTAAGTGGATATTCCAAGTCTACATTTGGGGACTACCCAGCTTGTAGGATCTCTTTAAGTCAATCCACTTTACAAACATCATTGTTTTGGCGTGGTGCCTAAATAGAAGCAAAACCAGGTTTCTTATCACGAGTTCTCTTTCAAATGAGAGGAATAGTGACTAGATACTCCCAAATTCAGCCGACACAAGTCCTGTACATCAAGCCCTGTGACCACCAAGTATGGAAAATGACTTCCCCTCAAAGACTTCCAAGCAGCCACACTTGACAGCCTCCATTTTACAGCCCTTCCTTTAAGCACCTGTTCAAGGGAAATGTGAGCAGAAGTTAAGCCCCTTGATTCCAAGTGATGAGACGGTGCCCTTCTGAGTCATTTCCATTCTCCGTGGTAACATTTGAATAACGCTTTTTGATAAAACAGCGATTCAGCTGAACTGCTAGTACATACCTTAGGTATGAAATCTCTCTCGATGCTTCTGAATACAGGAGGGAGTCAAAGCAACATTGCTGAAATAGGACGTCAGTGTTGGTCCACATGTGTCAACAGCCTAGAGAAAATAAAACACACATACACTTAACAGCTGTGCCCATGGGAAATCAACAGCCAAAGAGAGGCCATGTTATTTCTAAAGTTATGCCATGCTAATAGTTCCTGTGCAAACAACGCAAAGCTGTAACATTTTATAATTGTACATCATAGTTTTTTTTGCAGACATCCCTCTGGTATGTTAGATATTCAATACATGATGGTAGGCGGCAATGAGCACCGTAGGGATTTAAAGTGCGTTCCAAGCCATGAGTCATCATCCTCTCTAACGCATGGAAATTTAAAAGAAAAAAAAAATGTAACGCACTGACCACTCTCATGTGTTTTCTCTGCATAACATACCGTAATCACAAGCCCCCGTGCAAGCTTCCAGTGCGAGTGAGTGGACATTTAGCATGGATGTTGCTAAAAAAAAAAATAATAATAAAATAAAACAAAACAAAACACACTGCAGCATTCTTCTTGGGCACCCCTGAGACTGGCCAGGGAAGCTTGCTTTAGGAATAGAGAAACTGGGCCACATCGGTCTATCCATCATAGACTTCCATCCACAAAGCAGAAATAACAATGACCCCTTTTCTTCTCTCCCAGCTTCAGACTGCAACTACTTGCCGCATCCTACCCCACAGCGCTGCCTTTGCCAAAAGTGCTGAGAGAGGTCCAGCAAGAGCTTAATAAAACAACTGCATCCTAAGGAACTCATGTGGCTTGGCTGATTAAAGCAAGCAGTCCATCTATTCCTTTTTAAGAGATTCCTTTGAGCAGGCCTGTCAACACTACCCTTAACAACTGTGGAGTATTTTTTAATGCCAGCCCTAGCACTGTGATTACTGGAACAGATCACACACTCGGCTTTTCAGAACCTCATTCCACCAGCTTCTTATTTTTTCCCCATTTCATGTTCATGCTCCTCCAGGTCCTTCCTTAATTTTGGCCTCATCTACAATTCTCTCTTCAAGGAAAAGCCAACGCACAAGCGTAAAAAAAGCTCCCAGAAGTGGGAAGTCCAGCAGAGAGCACAGGAAAAGAAAACCCTGCAACCTCCCTTTTCACAGAAGATCAAACAGCCACGCAGCTTCAGAGGTGTGTGAGGCTGGGAGGTATCACAGCCAGGTATGCTGAGGAAAGGAAATGCCTTGATTCAGCACGAAGTTTTACGTCCCCACCCTCCCAAATCAACTAAACTCCTATTAAAGCTACCAAGGGGCAATAAAAACACCTCATTCTCTTTGGTCAGGGAGGGCACCATGGGCCTTTCTGGCTCAAGGATTTGCATCCTGCAGCTGCACAAGTGAACTTATAAGGACTCAAGTGTCAAAGAGCAGTGTCTACATTTATATAAATCCCTGTGTTACAGATTCACAGAAGTTTAGGGCTGGAAGGGACCTCCTTACGCTGCAGGAGAAACAGCTGCTGGTAGCATGCATGCTTCACCAGCACACACAGGCAGCAGGGACAGAGGAGGCCTCCCCTGAGAACTCCTCTGTGTCAAGCCCAGGCTAAGGCAGGTGATGGCTTGGGACGTGTGCTGCCATGAGAGCAAATTGCACGTGCCACAACATGTTTTGGACCAAAACCTGAATTGCAGGCTACGAGAAAGCACATCCAAGGCCGAGGCAATCTTGCCAAGCACTATGGCACTCGGCCCCGGGGACCTGCAAAGCCCCAGAGAGGCCTGGTTATGCTGAACTGACCTTCTGGTGGTGAACAAGGCAATGATTCACACCTTGCCAAAATAAATTTGAAGCTGCACTTTCAAAGCTGCTTTCACATGTTTGCCCCAGTCAGAGTCACACTGGACAAGGATCAAGCATGAGGAATAGTTCAGGGCCATTAATGCCAGAGCCCTCAGAGAGTGAACACACAGTTTAGAAATATATTTAGTCCACAAATGCTTATTAATCTGGCTGATTCACAGATGAGCCCAAACACCACTTCTGCTTTCCCGGGACAGGTGAAAGCCCTCTACCAACAGCACAGAAAGTTATTTAGTTCAGATCAGAACCTTTTGTAATGCGATTGCGAGAAAATAGACATGTAGACTTAGAAACCAACCTGCCAATCCCCAAAACATGGCCTAGCAGTCAGACCATCAAAAGACCACAACCAAGGCAATACTGAATGCTAATTCTGGTCCCACTCTGGATTTCCTTGGTAGTCTCAAGCAAGTCACCTGAGCTCAGCACTGCAGTTTCCTCACTCGTAGAGGTAAGATGATCATGAGCCTTAGGTGTTACAACATTTGTTTAAGAACTCCCAAATATCTTGAAGAAAAGCACTATCATCTTTTGCCTTGGGACAGAAATTGGAGTTCAATTTCAAGTGCACAAAAGCAGCATGTTAGAATAGTTTCTATTAGTTAATAAAACTACCAGTACTTAAATGTGCTGCATGCATAAAGTGTTGCATTTTTAACTGATTAGCATTATCTCTAGTTTGTGAATTAATTGATTGTTTCCGGTCAAAACAGGCCAGATTTCAATTAGACTTAGGTATATCTGAAAATCCCAGTTGGTATCTAAATATATGTGAAATACTGACCCCAGCTCCTTTAAGGTTGTTTTTTTTAAGGGAATTAAGAGATCTCATGCTCTCCTACTTGCTTTTTTTCCCCCCATAGACTGTAAAACAGTAGGGCACTATGCTTTCCAATTTCCAGTTTTTCAAATGAATAAAGAAAATATCATATACAAACATTTTCTTTGCATCTGATCTAAACTGAAATCAAAAGTAATTAAGCCAAAGGTTTTCTGAACAAAGAAACCGAAAGTCCTGACATTTGGAAAAATGTAAACATGAGTATTTGCTTCATTGTAAAGACTGAAAATAAAAGAAGTTTAATGAGTACATGACATTGTAACAGAATTATAAAGCTTGGGCTGACATCAGAAGTCAGATGTTTTCCCCAGTTCTCCATCTGACTAAAACAGCAGTGCCATTTAATTCACCAAAACAAGCTGAGGGCTCACTGAAGCAACTTCTCTTTTATTTAGATTATGCTTATAATTTGAGTTTAGGTTTTACCAAATTTTTTAAAGTAAATTTGACATTGACGGGGGAAAAATGAGTAAATCCACTTTAAATTAAAAACCGTTATACACAGTATATCCACCCTGTAAACCTTAGGAAACACATACCCAGATGGTATCTTTTAAATATTCAGGCCTACAACCACTGGTCTTAATAGAGTTACACCATCTGCAAATTTCTGGGGGAAAAAAAGCCCAGTAAAAGAAGCACAACACAAACCCACCAAAAATGCTAAAAGAAGAAAACTCCCACACACAGTAAAAATGCTAAAAGAAGAAAGCTCACAACAGGGCATGAGAGGTTTATTTTTCCCATTCAAAATATTTACAGACTCCACCGATTGCCTTTTAGGATCGAGTTCTTTATCTGAACTTTATTCTCAAGGACAGCTACCAGAACTGGGATTGCTCCGTACCTTCCTGGACGGAGCCCTTTGACAGCCCCATACATTTAAAATAGGTTTGGGAAGCATCAGGAAACCGAGTCATGTGAGACGGATCAAAGCAGGCTGGAGCTATTAGTAGACAAATTCATATGTAAATACATTTTGCAATAAGGATGAGGTGCCACCCGGCAGGTGGCGAGTGGCTCATTTTTAGCACAAACGCTGAAAACACTGCAGTACACTAATAGACCTGGCATTTATCTTTCCACGGAGGCAGATTAATTATAACATTCTTTCTTGCTGGCTTCTGAAGACCTGTCTGCTTAACCAAGGTGTTGTGCTTCAGTTGTCACAACTGTCACCACAGAAGTACTTTTTATTGGAGGGATGGTGGTGTCCCCACACCAAACCTAGAGCAGACATGGCCAAAAATAACCACAACCCAACACTTCAAGACCCCAATTAAGAGCAGGGCCCTACACAAGACGGGGACAGGCCCTGGCCCAAGTAGCTTGCAATCTTCATACCCAAGACAAACCAAAAGGTGGTATGGGAAAGAGATGCAAAGGTGAAGTAAGTCCAACATCAAGCAGCAGATCAGTGGCAATGCTAGGAGGAAAAATCAAGGTCTCCCAGTTCACATTCGAGTCCCACCCACCAGGCAACACTACTAACAAGTTGACTCCTTAGTGAATCTGGCTTTTTCTTGCTTGAAGTGACGCACCATAAATTCCAGTCCTCCCTTCTGTATTTAGCGGTCCCTAGGGTTTCTCTGGAGAAATCTGTGTCCCAGACCCTGCTTCCCTCCTCACTGGGAGCATTTTCAGCTCTGCTACAGCCCAGTGGAGTGAACAAACCACCCCTACCACCATGAATCAGCAGCTGTAAGTTATGTGCTAGTATTTGATAATGAGGCAGGTCAACTAAGAAGCCTTGGTTTGGTTCTGTGAACTCACAAGAGTGCACACATCCTTTTGCAACGGGTAACTGAAAGCACTGCAACTCTTATAGACTGCACACAATGAACAGCCTGGGCTCTAGCAATAAATGCTGTCATTCCCACCGATGCCCACAGTTTACAAGTACTGAGCATGTCCCGTTTGCAAGCGCCATTCTTCCCGTGTGGAGCATCCAAGCTGCACAGAAGGGCATTCCCCTCATCTTATCGGCCTCTCCGCTGGCCCTTCTGGGGCAACATCAAACTGCAAGTAGTCAAGCTCTTGCCAAAAAAAAGGAATAAATAAATCCAAAAGCAAGGAGCTCTGAACATCTGGTATTCTGGGCAGCACAGCTCCCCAGCAAAAAACAAAAAACAAAAGGGGGGGGGGGGGTTCCACAAACTAAATGTAGCAATCAACACAGAAATGACGTGCACAGAAGAGGACTTAGTCAGCCCTCAACATCCCTAATGCCACTGCTCCCTGCCACTACTTTGGTCACAGCTTTAAAAACCAGGTGTGGGGACCCCTTGGGTTGGCTGGACAGTAGGCTGACCCCTCCAGAAGCTGCCTAAAGCTGCAAAGGGAAGTGAAAGGGAGAAGTGCTAAGTACCAGCAAGCCACTGACCAGCTTGGGGGTTGGGGAAG